GATTACCAAAGGATTTTGGGTCGCACTGTAGGGCCCAGTGTCAGAAAGCTGGGTTTGCGTCCAAGATCCTGGGTCTTCCAGCAGGACAATGACCCCAAACATACGTCAAAAAGCACTCAGAAATGGATGGCAAAGAAGCGCTGGAGAGTTCTGAAGTGGCCAGCAATGAGCCCAGATCTAAATCCCATTGAACACCTGTGGAGAGATCTTAAAATTGCTGTTGGGAAAAGGTGTCCTTCCAATAAGAGAGACCTGGAGCTGTTTGCAAAGGAAGAGTGGTCCAAAATTCCGGGGTGAGAGGTGTCAGAAGCTTATTGATGGTTATAGGAAGCGACTGATTTCAGTTATGTTTTCCAAAGGGTGTGCAACCAAATATTAAGTTAAGGGTGCCAATACTTTTGTCCAGCCCATTTTTGGGGTTTTGTGTGACATTATGTCATATTTGCTTTTCTGCCTCTGTTTTATATTTGTTCCAATACATACAAAGGGAATAAACATGTGTATAGCAAAACATGTGTTAATGCAATACCTTCTTTGTGTGAAATACTTGATTTTCAGGAAAAATATCAAGGGTGCCAACAATTTCGGCCATGACTGTATATATATTTATATATATATATATATGGCAATATCATGTCAACAGCGTCCTCCAGATAAGTAACATTTCTGAATAATGAAAAAGCGAAAGCAGTTTATATTGCAAAGTCAGGCTGATCAGTTCCAAGAGTCCTATATTGTGGACTTTGAATGTTAGTCAGTGCTGTGCCACTGTAAGAGGTGAGCTCAATATGAACCACTTGCCAACTGGGCCAATTCTGACACTTCTCACATACATGTAAAAATCTACTTGCTAGAAAATTACTTAGAACCCCCAAACATTCTAAATATTTTATAGGAAAAAAAAGGTGGGTTTTGCAATTTTTTTTTATGTCACACGATATTTGCGCAGAGGTTTTTCAAATGCAATTCTTTTGGAAAAAATACACTTTAATGAATCTTATTGCACACAAACACCATATCATTCCCCTTGATGAAGCCACGTGACCGGTGGCGTAACATGCAGGAGAGGGGCTTTGACGTCACGGCGCTCAATGGTTCCATATTGATACCAGCTGGCAATTTTAGGATTTTTACCACTGAAAAAAATCTGGAGGACATGGGTATTCGGGTACTGCCCTGAGGGAGATGAAGCAGTAAAATTTAAAAAATGTTTTTTTCAAAAACTTCAGTTTTTAAAGGGGCAGTCGATTTTTCCTTGCTTAAAGTAAAAAAGAAAAAACAAATCCTTCAAATATCATGCCTGGGGGTCCCCTTAAACTACCTGAAAAGTTGCACTGTACAATGTATAGAACTTGCTGCAGCAGGACAATATTTTTTTTTAAATTACATTACATTTTTTTTAAATTACAATCCATACCAGACTCTTTGGGGTTTATTTACTAAAGCTGGAGAGTGCAAAATCAGACTCACTTCTGCATAGAAACCAATCAGCTTCCAGGTTTCATTGCCAAAGCTTCATTGAACAAGCTGAGGTTAGAAGCTGATTGGTTTCTATGCAGAAGGGAGTCTGATTTTGGACTCTCCAGCTTTAGTAAATAAACCCCTTTATGTCTGGTAGGAAGGTTAGGAGGGACCCCACAGTCAAAAACATTTTTTTTAAGTGTGTGGTGCTTCCCCAAAAATCCCTCCCCCCTCCTCGGCATTCGGGGATGGTGTCCCCTTGCTGATGGGGACAAGGGCCTCTTCCCCACAACCTGGCTTGGTGGCTGTGGGGGTCTGCAGGCAGGGGAGCTCATTATCATCAGGGTACCCCTTTAAATAAGGGGGCACCGTAATGCTGCCCCCCTTGTGAATGAGTAGGAGATACCCATACCCATTCACTAAAGGGTTAAATTGAGAAAAAACAAACACAACAGACTTTTGAAAAATTATTTTATCAAACAAAAAAAAAGAGAACTTTTATTTAAAAAAAAGCCAAAAAATGGTTCCGACGTTGTAATTCATCATCAATCATGGCGTCCAGCATTGTCACGAAGCTGCTGACTCACCAAAATTTAAATAAAAAACAACACTCGCTGGCCTGTCCGCACCCATCGAGCACTCGCCGCAATTTGACATTTGCTAGTCAGATGTAAACAATTGGGTGGAGGTAGTGGTGATGTCACTGCTAGCTCCGCCCAATTGTGCTGTTATTGGCCAAAGCATTGCACCTGACTTGTGGTTTGGCCAATCCCAACGCACTGCACTGTAAATGTACAGTGGCGAAAGCAGCGGCCGAACAGCCCACTGAATGCTCATATTGTTCGTGTTCAATTTGAACATTCAGACCATCACTAATTACAGGGAATGAAGGCTGCACGCCGCTATTACCTGCACTATTATGAAACCAACAGTAAATATTTTTAAGGCAAGAGCACGCGGTTTCACAATAAAGTGAAAGCATGTACAGGTGTACCTCGGTTTACAAACGCCTCGGTAACGTAATTTTCAGTTTACGAATGAAAATCCATTGAAAATAATGCCTCAGTTACGATTTTTTTTTGCAATACGAACGAATTAACTGGTTTTCAATGCATTTATGAATTTTTTTTAATCATGTCCCTCTACAGTATTTATGCCTTTAAAGTGCACTTTATAAAGAGTTTTGAACAGATAAGACTTTTTTTTACTTTTTTCTGACCTCAGAAACAGAATAATTGGTTTCCAGGGCACCCAGGAAAGTCCAATGTGCACCAGGTTCATCTCCTAAAGTTGATTCAGCTGCAGCTTTGGGGCACCATCAGGAATGGCAGCAGACAGGTGTGAGTACATCTGCATGCACAGTGAGGCGAAGACTTTTGGAGGACGGCCTGGTGTCAAGAAGGGAAGCAAAGAAGCTACTTCTCCCCAGGAAAAACATCAGGGACAGACTGATATTCTGCAAAAGGTACAGGGATTGGACTGCTGAGGACTGGGGTAAAGTCATTTTGTCTGATGAATCCCCTTTCCGATTGTTTGGGGCATCCGGAAAAAACCTTGTCCAGAGAAGGAAAGGTGAGCACCACCATCAGTCCTGTGCAGGGGTGGACTGACAACTCATGGGGACCCCAGGCAATAGGGGATCATGGGGCCCCTGTGTCCTTGCCCAAAGTCAAAAAAGCCTATGATAAAGGTACCAGGGGCATCTCATGGGGCCCCCTACTGACCCCGGGCCCTCGGGCAGTGCCCGAGTTTCCAAATGGTCAGTCCGCCCCTGGTCTTGTGTCATGCCACGTAGAGCATCCTGAGACCATTCATGTGTGGGGTTGCTTCTCAGCCTAGGGAGTGGACTCACTCACAATTTTGCCTAAGAACATAGCCTGAATAAAGAATGGTACAAAAACATCCTCCGGGAGCAACTTCTCTCAACCGTCCAAGAACATTTTGGTAAGGAACAATGCCTTTTCCAGCATGATGGACCACCTTGCCATAAGGCAAAAGTGATAGCTAAGTGACTTGGGGAACAGAACATCGACATTTTGGGTCCATGGCCAGGAAACTCCCTAAACCTTAATTCCATTGAGAACTTGTGGTCAATCCTCAAGAGGCGGGTGAACAAAAAACCCCACAAATTCTGACAAACGCCAAGCATTAATTATGCAAGAATATGGGCTGCCATCAGTCAGGATGTGACCCATAAGTGGATTGGTAGCATGCCAGGGTAAATTGCAGAGGTCTTGAAAAAGAACGGTCAACACTGCAAATATTGACTCTTTACATAAACTTCATGTAATTGTCAATAAAAGCCTTTGACACTTATGAAATGCTTGTAATTATACATCTGTATACCATAGTAGCATCTGACAAAAAATCTAAAAACACTGAAGCAGCAAACTTTGTGAAAATTAATATTTGTGTCATTCTCAAACTTTTGGCCAGGGCTGTACACAGTGATGTATTTAGATTTCATGCTGCCCTAGGCAGCACAAAAATCACCCCACCCCCACGGAGAGACCCTGAGATGGACCAACACCCCTTTCTCCCACAAAGAGAGCCTGGCATTGACCTACAGCACCCCAGACCACTCCCCACCACCACTACTTGAGAGAGCCTTCCACTACCACCGCCCCCATACACTAGCAACCCCCATCACCCCGGCGAGAGAGACGGTATTCACCTTCACAGCTCCGAACATCCCCAGGAACAAGATTCAGGCACTGCATACTCCATCAAGCAGCCCACAGTCTCTCTCAGATACCACCTGTTCCCTAGGCTGCGTGTGTCCCTTCTTTTGGGGGGCAGCGCTGCCCCCCTGAAAAATGCCACCTTAGGCAAATGCCTTGTTTGCCTTGTTATAAATACGCCCCTGCCTGTACATCTCAGGCCCAGTTCCCCAGTCTGTACATCTCAGCCTGCCCTCCACCATGTTGACTGATCCTCTTTCGTTGATACAAAGCAAACAATCTCCTGGCAACAGTGAGCAAATATCATAATACTAAGGAACAGGATTTCTGGGGGCCCAGAGAGATGTCCAAGACATACGTAGTAACCTAGCTGTAGGGTAGGGTCTGCATTAAAGAGGCACATGTCCTGGAAGCAGGATGAGCCAGTGAGAGCTCATAGGCAGAAGGGTGTTCACATGGAAAGGGGTCTACATTACGGTACAGAGCGGTTGCCGGTGTGGGAGTAGTAAGGAACTGGTGGTGTGGTGGGGTTGCAATACACCTGTTACATGGCCATTATTGACGTGTGGATTGTGATAAACTGATTACTGATACCACTTCTTTTTCTTTTAATATTTTGGCATGCAGCTGATGTCAAAGGACACAACGTGACAATACTTCACTTATGTACCCGTGTACAAGAAAGAATCTTATCAGCCACGTGTTTATGAGAGAGGCCAAGCCTTCTGCCAGTATAGCTCCAACAGTGTTCTTTAGATAAGATATATTTATCAAGAATGAACAGAAAATCTCTTTGCAGTGCAAAGTGGAAATTTGTATGTATTAGTCTGATCAATTCCAAAAGTACTGTACTGGAACTAGGGGCGGACTGACCATTTAGAAACTCGGGCACTGCCCGAGGGCCGGGGTCTGTAGGGGGCCTCATGAGATGCCCCTGGTACCTTTTTCATAGGCTTTTTTTGAGTTTGGGCAAGGACACAGGGGCCCCATGATCCCCTATTACCCAGGGGCCCCATGAGTTGTCAGTCCACCCCTGACTGGAACCTTACATTTTAGGCAGTCACTGTGAGAGGTGAGCTCTAATTTTGCATGCACGGTGGTAAAGTAAATCTATCCAGTGATCAGGGAAGTCAAAGTACCAAAACCAACGCCAGTAAACATGTGCGATTCGTCTTGCTTGATTCATTGTTTGGATGAAAATTTTATTTCCGGTGATTCATATGTATTCGAGTCTTCGAATGCACACAGAAAGGAATGGCAATGAGTCAAAAGAAGGTATAATGAAATTAATTTCATTCATTTGTTTCATTCAGATGACATCACATGATGCAAAAGTAGTTGGGGCCCAAGTGGGAATTTAATTAAATTTTTCAATTCATTTGATAATTTGAATTTGGATAATGAATGGATCTGATTTTTTTTTTCCATGCTCTTGGTGGGTTGGACTAGCATCCGAAAATATTGAATCTATCTGATTTGATAATATATAGAATATATAGCAATCACTCAGAAAAACTGCAAACTTTTTTGACCAACAAATATACAAATGTCAAAGATATGAAACTAATCCCAAAAACGAATCAGTTCAACATAACGAATGTGACGAAATTTAATTCTTCAATCAACGAATGCATCTGAAATTTTTGCGCACCCGTGCCACACTGTAGTAGTATTTCTACTATAGGGTGGAGCAGAAGCGGTTAAAGACGGACTGAACGCATTTTACAAGGGACTGCAATCAGGCAGAATGTTATCATAGACGAGACATGTAAACTGAGCCACAGCTCAGCCATCAATGCCAACAAGGCTCCTGTGTGCCAGGATGACTACCTCCTGCACATGGCGATGCCTGAAGACTGGCACCTGGGGAGAAGATACCAGCTCTGGCGAGGGACCCAGATCATTAGAGAGAAGGTAAGCAAAGTTCTCTTAGTTCCGCTTTAACCACTTGAGCTCCTGAGGATTTACCCCCCTTAATGACCAGGCCTTTTTTTGCTGTTTGGCGCTGCACTAATTCAAATAATTGCGCGGTCATGCAATGCTGTACCCAAACGAAATTTACGTCCTTTTTTTCACACAAATAGAGCTTTCTTTTGGTGGTATTTTATCACCTGTGTGCTTTTTTTTTTTTGCGCTATAAACAAAAAAAACACAAACATTTTGAAAAAAAAAAACAATATTTTTTTACTTTCAGCCATAAAAAATATATCGTAAACTCAAAGTTAGTCATAAATTTAAGCCAAAATGTATTCTGCTACATGTTTTTGGTAAAAAAAATCCCGTGCATTAGCGGGCAAACTGGCGCTATATGGGAGGGGCGCTAACACTATTGGAAGTCGCCAGTGACACTGATCAATGACACTGGTGACAGGGCAGTGAAGGGGTTAACTGGGGGGGGATCAAGGGGTTAAATGGGATTACTGGTGTACTGGTGGGCAAACTGGCGCTATCTGGGAGGGGCGCTAACACTATCGGAAGTCGCCAGCGACACTGATACGGTGATCAGTAAAAATCTGTTCACTGATCAATGACACTGGTGACAGGGCAGTGAAGGGGTTAACTCGGGGGAGGGGGGGCGATCAAGGGGTTAGACGGGATTACTGGTGTATTAGTGGGAAATCTGGCGCTTATTTGGGAGGGGCGGTAACACTATCGGAAGTCGCCATCGACACTGATACAGTGATCAGTAAAAATCGATTCACTGACCAGTGACACTGGTGACAGTTTAGTGAAGGGGTTAACTGGGGGGGGGCGATCAAGGGGTTAAACGGGATTACTGGTGTACTGGTGGGCAATCTGGCGCTATCTGGAGGGGCGCTAACACTTTCGGAAGTCGTCAGCGACACTGATACAGTGATCAGTAAAAATCGTTTCACTGATCAGTGACACTGGTGACAGGGCAGTGAAGGGGTTAACTGGGGGGGGATTAAGGGGTTAAACGGGATTACTGGTGTCCTGGCGGGCAAACTGGCGCTATCTGGGAGGGGCGCTAACTCTATCGGAAGTCGCCAGCGACACTGACACAGTGATCAGTAAAAATCGATTCACTGATCAGTGACACTGGTGACAGGGCAGTAAAGGGGTTAACTGGGGGGGGGGGGGACGATCAGGGGGTTAAATGTGACCTAGGTGTGTTCTAACTGTCAGTGTAGTGCTTTGTACTCACGTTTTCTGTGTCTTCTTCTCTGTCTGGAACGGAATGTGTCCAGGCAGAGAAGAATGACATCATATCCTGTCCTGTGTAAATGTCAACACAGGGCAGGATAAGGACAGGGACCGATCATCTGATTTCAGCCAGACATCACTGGCTGAAATCTAATGATTGATCCCTCCGGGATCGAACGGTGTCACCCGCGGGTCGGCGGGAGCGCGCGCGCCCCCTGCCGGCGAAAACGCCGGGAGCGCGGAACCCGTTTTAAAACGTGGTTTTGCGCCCCAGTGCCGCCCTGCACACGTATATATACAGTGGCAGGGCGGCAAGCGGTTAAGAAATGCCAATGTTCCCAAAAACAATAGCAAGTAGTCTATATTCCCATAGTTCCAAGCTACCTTTTTCACCTTCAACCAGAATGTACATTTAATAAAATGGAAAGTTCGCTCTCTGTGTCAGCGCCATGAAGGTCGTCCTGTTTTTCAAACAAGATCAGCAAATTCAATAGTTATGACTTGAACTGCATATAAAAGTTGCTGATCAAAAATATCATTATCAGTTAAGTTTATCATAAAGACGCCACAGAGCTATCTCCATTATATGATAATCACTGAAAAAGACATCACTGTACACATTTATCTTAGGTAATAAAGCCATAAAACAATTGTATGGCCGAGATTACTACGTAAGAAGTAGTTCAGAAAGGTTGATTATACTTTACATAAACAAAGATTTACACATTATATTCAGTTGTGCTCAAAAGTTTGCATACCCTTTTAAAATATATACAGTATGTAGCATTTTTAAAGAGAACATGGGTGAGCAGGCAAAACACATTTATTTGATTTTTTATGGGATTCATATTCTGAAACTGTAAGCCGTAACATAATGGCACAATCATAAAACAAAGTATGGCAACAAGTAAACAAATGCAATGACCCTTGTTCAAAAGTTGGCATACCCTTAGTTCAGGGGTCTTCAAAGTTTCTAAACAAAGGGCCAGTTTACTGTCCTTTAGACATTAGGGGGCCAGACTGTGGCCATTGGGAGTAGAAATTCTCCAGCTGGCAGTTGGAGTAAACATCGCCTCTTTGGCATTAGGGGAAGGAGTAGTTCTCCATCGTTGGTATCAGTGGGAGGAATAGTGCCCTATAATTGGAGTCAATGGGAGGAATAGTGCCCCATCGTTGGAGTCAGTGGGAGGAATAGTGCCCCATCATTGGTATCAGTGGGAGGAATGGTGCCCTATCATTGGTATCAGTGGGAGGAATGGTGCCCCATCATTGGTATCAGTGGGAGGAATAGTGCCCCATCATTGGTATCAGTGGGAGGAATAGTGCCCCATCGTTGGAGTCAGTGGGAGGAATAGTGTCCCATCGTTGGAGTCAGTGGGAGGAATAGTGCCCATTGTTGGAGTCAGTGGGAGGAATAGTGCCCCATCATTTGTGTCAGTAGGTGGAATAGTGCCCCATCATTGGTATCAGTGGGATGAATAGTGCCCCATCGTTGGTGTTAGTGGGTGGAATAGTGCCCCATCGTTGGTGTCAGTGGGTGGAATAGTGCCCCATTGTTGATGTCAGTGGAAGGAATAGTGCTCTGTTGTTGATGTCAGTAACAGGAATTATGCCTGGTTGTTGGTGTCTGTGGGAGGAAAAGTGTCCCAAGGACCAAATAAAGGCAAGCAAAGGGCTACATCCACCCCCCCCCCCCCGGGCAACAGGTTGGATACCACTGCCTTAGTTCTTAATACTGTGTATTGCCCTCTTTAGCATCAATGACAGCGTGCAATCTTTTGTAATAGTTGTCTTTGGTCATCTTGCATGAACCACACAACTGAGATCTCCCCAGAGTGGCTTGAGGATATTAAGGTCAGGAGACTGTGATGGCCACTCCAGAACCTTCACCTTTTTCTGCTGTGACCACTGGAGGGTCAACTTGGCCTTGTGCTTAGGGTCATTGTCGTGCTGGAAAGACCGTCCCATGAGCAGCTTTCATGCAGAAGAATGCAAATTGTCTGCCAGTATTTTCTGATAATATGTTGCATACATCTTGCCATCAAATTTCCTCATGCCTTTAGAGCTCACACACTCCAAAAACATCAGTTAGCCACCACCATGCTTCACAGTAGGGATAGTATTCTTGTCGCTATAGGCCTTGTTTACCCCTCTCCAAACATAGCGCATATGGTTGTGGCCATAAAGATCTATTTTGATCCTGTCAATCCAGATTACAGTGCACCAGAAGCTGTGAGGCATGTCAAGGTGTTGTTGGGGACATTGTACCCGGGCTTTTTTGTGGCTTTGGTGTAGCAAAAGCTTCTTTCTGGCAACTCGACCATGCAGCTCTTTTTTTGTTCAAGTATCATCGTATTGTGCAGAAAACAACCACACTGTCTTTTTCATAGCAGCCTGAATATCTCCTGAGGTTACCTGTTGGTTTTCTTTCTATCCCAATGCTTGACATGATTGTAGCCGTAATAGTGCACTTGCGACAGAAACAATTGAGTACTGACGTGATACTTTTTTTATTTGCATTATCATACAATTTTGAGGACAAGCTTTCGGGGTATGTCCCCTTCTTCAAGGTCCAGGCAGTAATACTATAAAGTTTTAGCAGAATGTTAGAATTTGGACATAGGATTCCTCACGAATTATCCAACAGTTTTATGACCCCCTCTGTGAGTGTTGTTACCCCCCCCCCCAGTCCTTGCTTTTGCTGTGTCTTATCTCTAGTCTAATCATAGTCTTTTAACCATTGCTGTGTACATCTGTTTGTGTGTGTTTCTTTCTGTGTGTTTTTTTTCCTTACCCTTTCAACATCTCTTCTAACTTTCTGCTAAAACTTTGTAGTAGTACTGCCTGGACCTTGAAGAAGGGGACATACCCCGAAAGCTATGATAATATGCAAATAAAAAAAGTATCACGTCAGTACTCAATTGTTTCTTTCTAACCCAAACTATTCATCTGGCAGTTGTAGCTGCAATTTTTCTTAGTCTACCTGACCTTGGCTTGGTATTAAGAGATCCCCAAATTTTCCACTTCCCAATAAGTGATTGAACAGCACTGACTGGCATATTCAAAGCTTTGCATATCTTTTTATATCCTTTTCCATCCTTATAAACTTCCATTACCTTGTTACACAGGTCTTTTGACAGCTCTTGTCTGCTCCCCATGGCTCAATATCTAGCTTGCCCAGTGCATCCACGTGAGATCTAACAAACTCATTGACTAATCACAGACACTAATTGCAAATTTAAAAAGCCACAGATGTGGTAAATTAACCTTTAATTACAATTTTAACTTGTTTGTGTCCCCTTGTGTGTCTGTACCAAGGCCAAACATTCCAGGGGATGTAGAGTTTTGATCCAGGCCATTTGGGTGATTTCTGTTATCACTATGATGTAAAAAGGAGCCAAACAACTACGTGATAATAAATGGCTTCATATGATCACTATCATTAAATAAAAGAGTTTTTTGGCATGATCAGTCATATTTTCAATATCAATGCCCAAATTTCACCATTTCTGCCAGGGGATGCAAACTTCTGAGCACAACTGTAGTTGAAACCCTGCTGTTAATATTTTGCCCAGGATCAAGAATTAACAAGTTGCAGCAAAATTTGTATTTTCTGCATTTAAATTAAACCTGTAAAAAAAATCTGACAATTCACAGGTGAAAACTTCATGTGGTCAATGGATCCAGACATATTACCAGCTAAATGTATTATTAAATCTCCACTATTCTTGTAAAGCTCATCATTATTCCCACCTCTAAGGTCTACCTATATGTCTTGTAAATGAGGGGGTGGCCTCAATGATGGGATGAACTAAGCAGCTGAGACAGTGAGTTCAGTACTTCTGGTATGAGCTTTGAGAAGGATTGCTCCACAGTGCCTGCAGCTCCAGGGCAATGAGGGCTTGTTTAACCCCTTTACTTCCAAGGGTTTTACATACGCTCTTGGTGGCTGCAGCCACTTGGATTGTGTGTATATCTGACTAGTTGATTATTGGCTGTCAGATGGAAGTGGTCTGGTAGCTGGGCAGCTTCCTGATAACTTCCAAAACCCCCAGTAATGGCTGCCCCCCACGTGTGCATGCCCCCACCATGTACCTTTGGCTCCACTTGCCTGTCTGGGGGCCCAGGACCAGCATGACAGGTGCCACTGAGTAGAGGGAAGGGAGCTTTTTTTGTACAGTTAGTTAAATTGGGAGAGAGGGATGCACTGTGTGCTTTCAGCTGCCATTGTGCTTTTGCTGGACATCACGTGCATCCCTGTGCCTTTAAGGAGGGGTAAGCTCCTTCCAGACATGCCTGTACTTAATCTATCCACTGCTATACAGTGAGGAACAGAAGTATTTGAACACCCTGTGATTTTGCAAGTTCTCCCACTTAGAAATCATGGAGGGGTCTGACATTCACATTGTAGGTGCATTCCCACTCTGAGAGACAGAATTAAAAAAAGAATTCAGGAAATCACATTGTATGATTTTTAAAGAATTTATTTGTCTTGCACTGCTGAACAGAAGTATTTGAACACCTGAGAAAATCAGTGTTAATATTTGGTACAGAAGCCTTTGTTTGCAATTACAGAGGTCAGACGTTTCCTGTAGTTCTTGACCAGGTTTGCACTGCAACAGGGATTTTGGCCGACTCCTCCACACAGATCTCCTCTAGATCTGTCAGGTTTCGGGACTGTCGCTGAGCAACACGGAGTTTCAGCTCCCTCCAAAGATGTTCTATTGGATTTAGGTCTGGAGACTGGCTAGGCCACTCCAGAACCTTGATATGCTTCTTACGGAGCCACTCCTTGGTTCTCCTGGCTGTGTGCTTCGGGTCGTTGTCATGTTGCAAGACCCAGCCACGACCCATCTTCAATGCTCTGACTGAGGGAAGGAGGTTGTTGCTCAAAATCTCAAAATAAAAGGCCCCATTCATCCTCTCGTTAATACAGTGCAGTCGTCCTGTCCCCTTCACAGAAAAGCACCCCCAAAGCATGATGTTACCACCCCCATGCTTCACAGTGGGGATGGTGTTCTTGTAATGCAACTCATCCTTCTTTTTCCTCCAAACACGACGAGTGAGGTTTAGACCAAAAAGTTCTACTTTGGTCTCATCTGACCACATGACTTTCTCCCATGCCTCCTCTGGATCATCCAGATGGTCATTGGAAAACTTCAGACGGACCTGGACATGTGATGACTTGAGCAGGGGAACCTTCCGTGCAATGCATGATTTGAAACCGTGACGGCGTAGTGTTCTACTGACAGTGACCCTTGAATACTGTGGTCCCAGCTCTCTTCATGTCATTGACCAGCTCCTCCCTTGTAGTTCTGGGCTGATTCCTCACCTTTCTTATCAGTGATACCCCACGAGGTGAGATCTTGCATGGAGCCCCAGTCTGAGTGAGACTGACAGTCGTCTTTAGCCTCTTCCATTTTCTAACAATTGCTCCAACAGTTGATCTATTTTCACCAAGCTGCTTGGCGATTGCCCCGTAGCCCTTTCCAGTCCACAATTTTGTCTCTGGTGTCTTTTGACAGCTCTTTAGTCTTGCCCATGGTAGTAGTTGGCGTCTGACTGACTGTGGGGTGGACAGGTGTCTTTAAAGCACTCAGACAGGTGCTACTAAGTTAGATTAATGAGTGGAGTAGAGGTGGACTTTTTAAAGGCACAGTAACAGGTCTTTGAGAGCCAGAATTCTTGCTGTTTCTTAGGTGTTCAAATACTTCTGTTCAGCAGTGCAAGACAAATAAATTCTTTAAAAATCATACAATTTGATTTCCTGATATTTAAATTCTGTCTCTCAGTGTGAATTTCAGACCCCTCCATGATTTCTAAGTGGGAGAACTTTCAAAATTGCAGGGTGTTCAAATACTTCTGTTCCTCACTGTATGTGCTACAACTTGAGAGACTCTAGAAAATTAGAGAGTTAGGACCATAATATACTGAGGAGCCTTTACAAGGGCACTACTGCTTACGGACATATTTGCAAATGTGTGCAAACAAAACCCTCTGTTTTAATGTGAATTGTTAGATATGCTCAATTTGGTTGTCTTGCAGACTGGTGGTGGGTGTGCTGGGAAATTTTTTGTTTGTTTGTGATGTGTGCTTCCCTTCCATGTGCATCTTACTGCAAAGGTTAGTTAACTAGTTGTCGACTGCAAATAGCCAAATGATGGCTGCACTGCGGCCGGCCATTTCTGGGAGGGCGTCATATGACGTCCTCCCAGAAACGCGCTCTTCTGCGTACCCCCGGGGGCGTGCACCAAGCAATCTCCGTGATCGCTGTTCACGTGATGTGGTAAAAGGCCAATCACAGCGGCCTTTTACCACGTGATCAGCCGTGTCCAATGACACACTGATCTCCGGGAAATGCAATTGCCGAGAATTGCACTTTCCTCATGTTGTCAGAGCAGGGATCAGCACCGATCATCAGGGCACTGATCATCAGTGCCCTGATGATCAGTGCCCAGCAGTGCCACCCACCAGTTACACCCACAAATATCCAGCAGTGCTGCCCACCTGTGCCCAGCAGTGCCACTTACCTGTGCTCAGCCATGCCGCCCAGCTGTGCCCAGAAGTGCCACCCACCAGTGCAGCCCAGCAGTGCCACCAGTCAGTCCTGCCCAGCACTGCCGCCAGTCAGTGCCCAGCAGTTGCACCAGTCAGTGCCCAGCATTGGCGCCAGTAAGTGCCCAGCAGTGGCGCCAGTCAGTTCCGCCTATCAGTGCTGACTATCAATACCCATCATCAGTGCCAGCTCATCAGTGCTGCCCATCAGTGTCACCTATCAGTACCACCTATCCGTGCCACCTCATCAGTGCTGTCTATCAGTGCCCTTCAGTGCCGCCTATCAGTGCCCTTCAGTGCAGCCTCATCAACACACATCAGTGAAGGAGAAAAATTAACTGTTTGCAAAATTTTATAATAGAAAACAAAGAAACTTTTTTTTTCACATTTTTTGCTCTATTTTGTAATAGGTTGGGACGGCAGGCACCTTTTTGTATGGAAGAAAGCTAAGCAGACATTAGTCTACTTCTCCTTGCTGATACAGAATCAACATGTATGACGTCACTTCCAGGTCCCCCTTTAACTTCTGCACAGCACTTTAGATTCATTGGAGAACAGGTGAGACATCAGGGTCTTTTAGACCCCTGGTGTCTCATTAACCACTTCCAGACCGGACACTTTCACCCCCTTCCTGTCCAGGGCAATTTTCAGCTTTTAGCACTATCACACTTTGAATGACAATTTGCAGTCATGCAACACTGTACCCAAATGAATTTTTTACCATTTTTTTGAGACAGATAAAGCTTTATTTTGGTGGTATTTATTCACCACTGGGATTTGTATTTTTTTTGCTATGTAAATGAAATGTCCAAAAATTTTGAAAAAAAGTGTTTTTTTTATAAATTTTGCAAATAAATAATATTTCATCATAAATCTTAGCAAAAATTTATTCTGTTATCTTTTTAGTAAAAAAAAAAAAAATCCAAATTAGTTTATAACCAAAAATTATAATTTTTAAATATTTTTTTTTTAATTTTAATTTTATTTTTTTTATATTATTATTTTTTATTTTTATTTATTTTTTTACATACTGTCACCCTAGCAGTACAGTGTCACCATGGTGACACTGTACTACTTGTGGGGGGTGATGAAGATTTTTTTTTTTTTTTTTTTTTTTTACACTGATTGCTTTTACACCCATATAGGATGTAAAAGCAATCATTTCTCTTACTGTGTGCATTCTTGCAGCCATTGAGAAGTACTGAGTGAGCTGTGATTGGTCACAGCTTGTCACATGGTACAAGGCTGTTGTGAATAGCCTTGTACCATGTGACCTCTGTGATCATTCACAGATTTCACACGTAGTAAGCAATGATGACATCTTGCTTACTACTTTGCATGTGATCACTGATTGGCCAATCAGTGATCACATGATCGGGACCGGGGACACAGCGGGCACCGGATCGCGGTGCTGCGTGCTCCCAGGGAGCGCGCAAAGCAGGGTGCGGGGAGGCCGTTTATGAACGGCCACCCGACCCTGCAGTGCCACCCTCCGGCCGTTTATATGCAACGGCCGGTCGGGAAGTGGTTAAAGAGAACCTGTCACCAAAAAAAAAATCATCACATAGGAAACTTTTTGTCCATCTCTGGAAGCAAAAGAGTTAAAGCACAACTATGACCAGGCAAAATAAAAAAACAAAAGTGACTACCACTCCCTACTACCACAATCAGCTGTCAACAAATCACAAATATGTGGGAATTGATTTACCTGCTAAAAGATTATTTTTTTTTAAATATGTCCGAGATTTACAACATACCTGTGACCTGATTTTAATTTATTGCAGTTATGCAATACAGCCTTGTCACCTGTCTGCCTACAGCCTGTCCCTGGACAATGAAGGAGCAGAAACAGATCAAAGAGGCTCACTTTGCTCTCTCCTCCTGTCAAATGTTCTCTGTGCGTGCAATGGTTTGCCCTAAGTATTTTCTCTGCCTCGTCCAGCCTGAGCATTAGAGTGTAGGAGATGGCAGAAAGATGATCTAAAGACGGAATTCAGTAATTACTGTACATTTTTATGCTACATTTATTTTATGCATTACTTGTTCCCTTTATACTTTTCTTTTACATTTGGATAGAGCAGGGAAGACATAAAACAAACCCAGGTTTGAATAATTTGCACAGCTGTTATCGGCACAGACGGCACAATTGGAATATTTTTCCTCATCTTCTATTTTATAGAAAACAGGTAAAATTTGGATTGGCTTATCACTTTCTGCCCAAGTGACAGTAGTCCCCAGGACAAACAGTGAGGTCAGTGGAGGGATTGACAGAGAGGGATGGAGGACACTGAGTGGAGGCCAGTGGAGGGATTGGCAGAGAGGGGTGGAGGACACTGAGCGGAGGCCAGTGGAGGGATTGGCAGAGAGGGATGGAGGACACTGAGCGGAGGCCAGTGGAGGGATTGGAAGAGAGGGATGGAGGACACTGAGCGGAGGCCAGTGGAGGGATTGGCAGAGAGGGGTGGAGGACACTGAGTGGAGGCCAGTGGAGGGATTGGCAGAGAGGGATGGAGGACACTGAGTGGAGGCCAGTGGAGGGATTGGCAGAGAGGGGTGGAGGACATTGAGTGGAGGCCAGTGGAGGGATTGGCAGAGAGGGATGGATGGAGGACAATGAGTGGAGGTCAGTGGAGGGATTGGCAGAGAGGGATGGAGGACACTGAGTGGAGGCCAGTGGAGGGATTGGCAGAGAGGGATGGAGGACACTGAGTGGAGGCCAGTGGAGGGATTGGCAGAGAGGGATGGAGGACACTGAGTGGAGGCCAGTAAAGGGATTGGCAGAGAGGGATGGAGGACACTGAGTGGAGGCCAGTGGAGGGATTGGCAGAGAGGGGTGGAGGACACTGAGTGGAGGCCAGTGGAGGGATTGGCAGAGAGGGGTGGAGGACATTGAGTGGAGGCCAGTGGAGGGATTAGCAGAGAGGGATGGATGGAGGACAATGAGTGGAGGTCAGTGGAGGGATTGGCAGAGAGGGATGGAGGACACTGAGTGGAGGCCAGTGGAGGGATTGGCAGAGAGGGATGGAGGACACTGAGTGGAGGCCACTGGAGGGATTGGCAGAGAGGGGTGGAGGACACTGAGTGGAGGCCAGTGGAGGGATTGGCAGAGAGGGATGGATGGAGGACAATGAGTGGAGGTCAGTGGAGGGATTGGCAGAGAGGGATGGAGGACACTGAGTGGAGGCCAGTGGAGGGATTGGCAGAGAGGGATGGAGGACACTGAGTGGAGGCAAGTGGAGGGATTGGCAGAGAGGGATGGAGGACACTGAGTGGAGGCCAGTAAAGGGATTGGCAGAGAGGGATGGAGGACACTGAGTGGAGGCCAGTGGAGGGATTGGCAGAGAGGGATGGAGGACACTGAGTGGAGGCCAGTGGAGGGATTGGCAGAGAGGGGTGGCAGATATGGAACGGTTAGTAAGGTGGATGAGTCTGGCAGCAGCATTCATGATAGACTGAAGAGGGGATAGCCTGCGATGAGGTCGGCCAATAAGGAGGGAGTTACAATAGACAAGGCGCGAGATATAACAAGGGAGTGAATAAGTTGCTTAGTGGTTTCCGAGGTTAAAAACGGCCATATCTTTGCATTACATAGTATTTTGTTATCGTTTTGCATATGGATGTTTATATTATTTTTGAAAAACTGTATGCTCACTTCAGATTTTGGTGTAATGCACATATTTTTTTTTTTTTATCTTTTAAAAGAATGCAAGAGTATGTTTGTTGATTGTATATATCACATGTATTTCATAATCAGGTGGCTTTTCTTTTCTTTTTTTGACCAGCATTGATAATAATTCTTGTTGCAGTACAATACATTATTTATTTATACCCCATCAAGTTGTGATTGGGATATATTTTTCTATTCGTTTCTTCATATGATATTGTTAATGTATAGTGTTTTTATTTTTTTTATACTATTATTGGCTATTACCGTTAATTGTTTGCCTAATATTTGGATCTTTCACAGTCTTATGTGTCACTTTGTTCTTTGTTCCATGGGATTTGACATGCTTCCATTCCTTGGAGAAATTAATATCTCAAAGTTACCACTCTATTTCCTTGAGTTGTTACATCCATTACCGAGTGAAAATTCTATTTGTTCCATACATTGGCCTGCTCAAGACACGGTCAGTTTTACCTCTTGATATATCCTTTATGGACTATTCTTCAATACCTATTTTTTTTATTAGGTATATCCCTTTGGTCTGATGATTTGGAATTTAATATATTCTGTTTTTCATACCACCTTTCGTCCCATTAGGGGGATGTTCTGGTGCCCCTCTGCCAGTCCTTATTGGCTGGTGACTTACATCTGACCACTCTTGCCCTCTTGGATGATGCAACATGGTGTCCAGCCTCTTATCTTTGAAGTCATCCTCCCTTTTGCTCTGACATATGCTTTTGTAAGTAAAAAATTATTTGGTTATGTGAAAAAAAAATTTGATTATCTAGTATTTATTTTTTGATATACTAATTTATGATTGTTTATATATCTACTAGAAAGTCCTTTGTCTTTCATGTTCCCTGAAGAAGATCTAGAATGTGGAATGATCGAATCGCGTCTGGATTTTTTTTTCTTTTTCTGTGTGGTTTCATATTTTTGTATTAAGAGTTCTCTTGTAAGAATACTGTCAGAGCAATATTCTTTTGAGAAATCATGTATTTAATATTACAATGGAAATTTGTATGTAATAAAGTTGATAAAAATCTTTTTTAACCAAATGTCTCTTTCAATATACAGTATGTATGATCCTATTGCTGCATCAAAGTCCCACTGGAGGTTCTTTGGGTATGGTTGTTGATTGTAAGGCCTCATGTACACGGGACACTTCTGAACGATGGAAACTGACTGCTGGAAAACGTAGGTAAAAAAGGTCTGTTTAACCGCGTTTGCATAATGCGTTTATGTGCGTTTGCGTTTAGAAGCGTTTTTTAAAGATAAGTACAGGAGAACCTCCCAGATGCCCAGAATGCACTGAAAAGTGGAAAATTATTAACTATTTTAGACTGTTTTGGAGAAATACAGAGAGTAGAAGCAGAGACAGCAGTATATGTTGAGATAATTAGGTGTGAGTTGCTCATTAACATTTCTTTTGTTTCCATGGGTGGGAAGGAGTCATTAAGGTCACCTAGCAGGGGATCTGTATGAAGAATTTGAGGTGTGAATGGGAATTAACATATCTTTTGTTTCCAAGGGTGGGAGAGGTCTGAGGTGTGGATTGGTCATTCCAAAGCTTGGTAGGAACATCCTGTGTTCAGTGTTTTGTCCATTTGAGCACCTTGAAAATGCTTTGCATGCATTTTTCATGATGAAAAAGGCTGTGGACAGCTTATAAACACGATTTGCTGCGTTTAGCCACGTTTACAAACATTTTGCATTTGACACACTGATAAAATCGACTGCTGAACGCAAGTTTGGTGTGTTAAAAAAAAACGACTATAAACTCAAATGCCTGTAAATGAAGATGTGTACATGGACACATAGGAAAACATTATAAAACTCCTCAACTGCTACAACCACTATTGACGTGCACTCTCAAACACCCTTTTGTCCTTTTTCAATCCAGAAGTGTCAATTTAACAAACAATGTCCATCAGTAACTGGTATATAAATCCAGAAATAGTATATGTATTATTCACTTTCTCATATTCAATGCAGTGCCTGTGAAAAACGTAATCAAAGCACTCTGCTCCCTTTGGGTGAAAAACTTGCATGCCTTGGGACCAGACCTATGAACGATAGGTCAATTGCGCTGTTTACTCGCTGTCCCTCCACCCTATAGCAGATATAGTGCTACAGGGTGGCAGAGGTGTGAAAAATCATATATATATACATGGGAGGGGGGCGCACGCACGCGCAGCACGAGCACGATACACACGTCACTATTTGCTGCCTTGGCTGTCAATCACTAGGTCCCGGTTGGTGATTACTCGCAAGCACTCAATGATCACCAAGCATTACTGACGGGGGGGGGGGGAGAGAACTGTATGGAAACAATACAGATCTCTGCCCTGTCAGTTCCTGCACACTGCTTTGTATGGCTCTGCATGACAGAGCCATACAAAGCAGTGTGCTTACAGTTGAAAACACACATACAGCTTACGGTAACAGCCTTTTATTAGCACGGACCACTGTATTGGTGTCACTGGGGATGTCAGTGACACCAGATCAGTTCCCCCCGGTGTCAGAATGCCTGCTGCAGTTCCGCAGTCCTGCTTTAAGTCGGTGATCGCCGCCATTACTAGTAAAAAAAAAAAAATTATATTCCAATGTATATACCACCATTTGTAGACGCTATAACTTTCACATAAACCAATTCATTTAAAGCGCATTTGAGTAACATAGACCACTCCTGGTCATCATCATCCTAGGGGTAACCTCATGGATCATCTGGTATACGTCTGCACATCAGCTGATCGTCCGACTGCTACTCTCCAGATCTCCACTCCAAGTGTGTATG